TTTTCACTACTGGATAGATGCTAGCTTAGATTTTGTCAGCAATTCAATCGAGACTACATTATTTGATAAATTCTTTATCTTTTTCTATATCAGGTAATATCTAATCTTCTGTATTTATCATTTATTATTAGAAGCATACTCTTCCTTTTGATATATCTCACGCTGTTTGTAAACACTTTATTACGAGAAAATGATATAAATCATATTTTTTTTGATTGACTCCTCATTGAAATATTATTAACGACTAAAAAAAAAAATAAAAAGTTGTTTCAAAATATCAGTAATATATATATATATATATGTTTAGATGTAATCGTGGATATTTAAAAGATACAGCTCAATGTGAACATACAGAGAAAATTGAACAACAAGCTATTGAACTTGGTCATTGTTTTCTTCTTGGTGATCGCTATACAAAAGCATTTAATGCAACAGAAGGATCATCCGATATTGTAGCTGAGAAAAAGTAAAACAAAAAATGAATTTTGTAATACAGATCTATTTCTTCTTGTAATAGACCATTAATAATGGGTTGCTATGGTATTGGTTTAACACGTTTAATGGCAGCAACAGTTGAAATACTCACACCAACAGAATCAAATGATATACGATGGCCAAGACGAATTGTTCCTTATCAAGTCGCTATTTTACCACCAAAAGTTTGTCATGTTTTGTTTGAATTTAATTCAACGAAAAATTATTGATCAATTTTCTTTCTTTTTTTTTAGAAAGGTAGTCCTGAAGAAATAAGTGATAATGAAAAACTTCTTGGTCGTTTGTTACAACTTGATAATACGGAATGGTTTGTTGATGATCGTACTGAATTAACTATTGGTTATCGATTAAAAGATTGTCAAAAAATGGGTATTCCTATTGTTATAGTATTTGGAAAACGAGCTGTAAGATTTATTTCTATAAATATTAATCTATTCATTTATTTATATATTTAGACTAAACAAAATTTGTGTGAAGTAATCGATGTATACAATAATCGAAAAGAATATTTATCTTATGAAGATACGTTAAAATTTATTCACGATTATTATTCAGTTTTTTGTTAAACATTATTTGGTTTTGTTTTTAAAGAAAAAAGAAAAGAATTTAGAGATGTTAAGCTTTATTTATAAAATTGTTTTTCTTTCAGACAAAAAACATGCCCTCATCATTTTCTAAGTCCAATGGTACTTATGCTGCATTAGCTGTTGGAGCTGTTGCAGTTACATATGCTGGTACACATGCATATAAATCACGTATTCAACGAAAATATGATGATGGAATTGATCTTAAAAATCAAACAGTTGAAGTCGATCCTGTGGAACATATACGTCGTTGCACTTTTTATAAAGATATTGATATTTTTTCATTTTATAAAACAATTTTGCCTAATGTAGAAACATTAGGTGATGTTTTCTATAATGGTTATTTGACTTCTAAAAATGGACCATGTATAGGACATATTGATCCAGTAAATAAAACAGCAGAACTTCAATGGATGTCCTATTCGATGGCATTAGAACGTATACGTCTAATTGGTTCACATTTATGGACAGAAGCTAAACTAACGCCAATGAAATCAACAGTTGCTATTATTTCACTAAATCGACCTGAATATGCATTTGTTGAACATGCTTGTTATATGTATGGATTTACTGTTCTGGGTCTCTATACAACCTATGATTCATCAACTATTTTATCGTTATTAGAAAAAACACAAACGGAAGTATTGGTTGTTGATAATTTACAACGTATTGAATCATTTAGAAATCAATTGTTGGAAAAAACTTATCTAAAAGAAATTCTTATTATGGATGATGTAAGAAGCAATGAATATGAAAGAATTAAAAATTTTCCAACTATTTTAAAAACTATGCAACAATCAGATGTTCGTTCACGACCTAAAATTGATCCAGAGAGTATAGCTACATTTATTTTGACAAGTGGAACAACAGGTTTGATGGAAAAGATAGTTTTGAAAAAAATTAATAATATTTACATTTAAGGTGAACCTAAAATAGCAATGTTATCACATACAAATTTATTGGCAACACTGAAAGGTAATAATGACCGTCGACAACGTGCTAAGATAGATGCTCAACCCAGTAATAGACATTGTTCATTTTTACCGATGGCTCACTTATATGAACGATTAGTACTCCTCCACTATTTTCTTCATGGTTCACAAATTGTTTTTTGTCCTATACCAGAAAAACTTTTTGAATATTATCCAATTGTAAAACCAACAAATATTTCTATGGTACCAAGAATTTTAAATAAAGTTTATGATACAATAATGACTGAAGTGGGTAAAAGTAAAATAAAACGTTTTCTTATTTCACAAGCATTACATAATGAACAACCAACATTATTTTCACGTTTTATTTTTCGAAAAGTAAAAAACTTATTTGGTGGCGAAGTCTTTGCCATGGGAACTGGTTCAGCACCAATACCACCTGAAGTATTACATTTTTTTCGTATAGCACTTGATATACCTATTGTCGAAGGCTATGGTCAAACTGAATCAACAGCTGCTGGTACAATTACACATGTTACTGATACATCATGTGGTACTGTCGGTTCACCGGTACCTTCGGTTGAGATAAAGCTTATTGATGTACCAAATACAAACTATCAAGCTAATAATAATCAAGGGGAAATTTGTATTCGAGGACCAACTATTTTTAAAGGTAAGTTTTCGAATTCATTCTAGCAATCAATCGGAGATCAAACACGAAACGTACATTAATTCAGATCATTCAAAGATTGATTAGTTACAATATGTGCAATCTAAGATTTATCTGATAATTTTAAGCGAATCTACATCGGCCTAGGTCCCATCTGACATTGAACATTAACATGTTTTTAAAAATTTAACTAACCTACTGTTCTTTTTTATACTGTAGGTTACTATGGTGATGAAAAAAGAACACGTGAAACTATTGACGAAGGTGGTTGGCTTCATACCGGTGATGTTGGTGAATGGACAAGTAATGGTGCTTTACGTATTATTGATCGTACAAAACATATATTTAAATTAAGTCAAGGTGAATATATTGCACCTGAACGTCTTGAAGATGGTTATGTTCGTTCTCGATGGGTTGCACAAATATTTGTTGATGGAATATCATCAGAATCTACTGTTGTAGCAATTGTTATACCTGATGAAGAATATGTACGAAAACAATTTCGAATGGCAAATCCAAATGTATCATTTCAAGATTTATGTAAAGATGAAAAACTTAAAGAAACTATTTTAGCTGACTTAAAACGATTAGCTAAAGAATATAAATATCAATATTATGAAACAGTTAGTAATATTCATCTTCATCCGGAACTATTTTCACAAGAAAATGGTTTTATTACATCTACATTTAAAACTCGACGAACAGAAGCTCGACAATATTTCCACAATATTATTCACTCACTTTATGAAGTTAGGGATAAAATAACAAAACCAACAAATGTTGAACAACAGTCAAAATTATAAATTCTATGGTGCTAATTTGAATGATTGATAATTTCAAGAATATTTTTTTTTTTGTTTTATGATTCCATATTTGATTAGCTTTTTAATTGATTCAGTTGTTATACACACATTTTCTTTGAAATACAAATTTGATGATTTACAAAAACAAAAGGGAAACATATCGAACAAAAAGAGTAATGAATCATTGAGTGAATTAAAATGATTGTCACGCTCGGTATTTTGGAAATATATCAATATAAACAAATCCATTCCTTTGATGATATTCTTCTAAGATTAAAACTGAAGGACTATGCTATGGTCTAATATCTTATTATTTTAAGAAAAACACACTGAATATAATATCAATTATTTTGGATATACAATATTGGACAAAATTTTTTTGGATGAATGTATTTTTAATATAACTGGTGTATACAGCTGACTTTTGATAAACAGCTTGTGTCAAAATTACAGCCAGTGTCTATGTTATATACAAAGAATATTTTATTCCTAAAACATAGGTAGATTACAATATAAACAATAGGCTTATGAAAAGTTTAAGTTATTAAAATGTAGTTCGTGTTCTTCTCTCTGCATGGATATGTGTTCAGTATTTTTAGAACAACTCTGAAAAAACTAACTCAGTTTAACAGATCGTCCAACAAAACCTAACTAGCTCAAACTATTATATGTGCAGTTCTACTATGACTTAATATTTAGGAATAAAACGTTTTTTTGAATATAGGATAGATACTGACTGTACTTTTGATGCAAACCATCCATGGAACGTCAGCTTTATACAACAACTACATTATAAACAAATTTATCTAAAAAAATATAGTTCAGTTTTGCATCTCATCATCAACGAATCATAATACTTTAAATCATATTTTTTAAACATGTGTTATGGAATTCTCTATTACGTTTGCATGAAAGGGTCCTTTGTATTATGCTGTTGAATTTTTAAGCGAAGAAACATGAAGATCTTTATAAAGTTAATTTTGTTCATTGTAACAATGAGAAAAAAACCTACAGAAATCTCAAGTATCATACATTATATAATATTTCACTTGAAAATTCATGATATCATGTAAGTATTTATTTAAAATACAACGAAGATCTTTTCGTAATGTTATTTTCGTTTATGTTTCTATCAAAATAATGAGACATGTAGCTATTAGATAGTGTTTCAGTTTTAGCCTTATAAGAAAATCATTAAAACAATTCCATGGGAGATCGTTCATTGCTATTCTTCTAGAAAGTTTGAGGGCGCATCTTTCTCTAACAAAAATTCAACGTTATAGGACTTTTCTGTATTGAGATATTTGCAAAATACTCGATAGTGCAATCATTTTGATGCACCCCGAGATGATATATATTTGAAACTCTTTTTATACAAGAGAATAAATAATTTTCTGTTGATTTCATTTTTATAATAGAAAAAACTTCGAAAGAGTTACATCAGAGTTTACTCTTCCAAAAAAAATCATGCAAAAGTGAAGCTTGACTCGTCTCTTTTATTTCTTATACAATCTTCCTATGAAATATTGTCATTATGTTCATTGTCACTTTGTTGTTGTGCTAATGATGATGATGATGATGATGATAAATTAATCTTTTGTATAGCAATTACTTGCATGCCATCATTGGGTGTAACAACCATCATTTCTTTATGTCGTGTTCGAAGACGAAGTGTTAATAAATTGTCTGCAGGATCAATATCACGAATAACCGATCGAACAATATTAGCAAAAGAAAGTAATTTTGAACTTATGAAAAATGTAACATTATTATCTAATGATGTATATTGAAGTTGTGCTTGTTCATTTGTTACAATAACACCTTCAACAGTTGGATTATTTAATACACGTTTTAATATTGCTTCTTCAATTGGTGATAAATCTATTTAAAATAAAGTAATATAGATAACAAAAATTTATTTAAATAAATAATACTTGATGCATTTTCCATTTATTTTGCTATTGTTGCTTAGAATTGTAGTTTTGACGTTAATAAATGAACTCTCGACTAATAAAAAATGATTCTATTATACAACTGTGATCGATGAGAAACAAGTTTTTTATTGCGTGAGTAAGAAATAGAAGGAAAAAAAATCTTTATTCTTGACCTATGGATCTATTCCTACCAGTAAATCAACGGGACATGTTTAAAAAAGAAAACGAGTATTATTTTATGGAGACAAAAAGTTTTAACATTGATAAAGAAAAAAGAACATTAGATTCCCGGTTGTTTTATAAAGCGATCTTGTGTAGTAGAAACGTTAAGAAGAAAAAAAAAGAAATATTGGACACATCTCCATTTACTTTTTATTTGATTTTATATTGTTCTTGTCGTTCACGAGTTTTTTTTACGCTTATGATAGCAACTAGTGTTCGATCAGAATAAAAAAAAACTAGTTGTTACATTGAACAAATAATATATAAGTTTAATAATTCATACTTTTCTTCTCATCGTTTGTTTGAAAATAAATGACAAAAGATCTCTTGTATTATAATGATATTTTAAATCGAAATATATGATTGATGAAATGATTTCATGCATTACCAAATATATTTTATTCTTATAATATTTTGATCTTATTCTAGATGAAATAAATGATATTAATATTATTAAGTAGAAATCTTTGAATAGTTTAATGTTTAAATTATATCATGAATGTACTTTTGGATGAATATAAAGTTTTCTGTCAAGACCATAACTATTTGAAGAAACTTATTTGATCAGCATACGTTGTAGGCAAAATTAGAATTTTAGTATTGATTAGACACTCATCAGTCAGAATTGGAATTCCATTTTCACCTGTGCATAATAGAAATTCTACTACAAATAAATTCATACAATTATGTGCTTTACTAAAAGTAGAGTAGAATGAACTATAAGACAAAACCGTAATTGTAGTGGTTGTGTCGACAAGCGATGTTGATACCAATTTGCATGTTACGATTTTCCTAGTAAATGCACTGACTTCAAAATAACTTGCTATCGTACTGTAAAAAAGTGTGAAATGGTTCATGAGCATGACCTACCGTGTCATAAACCTTGTAAAAGGTTTGTGACCCGCAGCAAATTCTTGACAAAATTTATGAATCAAAAGGATTTAAATACTGGTGATAAATGGATAGAGAAGGTTTATTATTCGATACTTATGTTTTTCTGTATAATGTGTCACAATAACTCTTTGGTATTCTATAGGTTTTTAGCATTTCACTAAAAAAGGCTTTTAAAATGTTCAATCTACTAAGTTATTGAAACGTTTTTCGCAGAATGCTAAAATAAATGCACAAGTTCCTGCTCAGTTTCCATGTACTGAGATGATTTGCAGAAGAATATTCAATATAGATCCTGTGACATAATGATAACATGGTGCCCGAAAAGGTATTCTGCTGATAAGTGGCACTGTATTCAGATATCTTGAGTTCAGCACACTCACTAAGGCTAATACAAAATGTCTGACTTTCAAATTTAACAACTGGTCGCATTTACAATTGCAAAGGTACATGTGCTACAAAACAACATGGTTGTACAAACATGAGTGAATAAATTATGATTCTTTATCTTATTCATTGTGAAAATCCTCATGAAGGACATGTTGCACCATCTCATGGTTTTATTCGAGCTGAAAGAATACTGAAAGAACGATTTCGTGTCATTGATTTGCGTTCGTCGAGCACGAAAAGAAAAATACATGCAAGGCATGAGATAACCTCATCTATCTTTGATGTTGTGAAATAAAAAAAACTAATTGTATGATTTCGTTTGTATGAGTTTATTGCTAGTCTACTTTTGATTTAGTTCAGGGAAAACTGAAATTCCAGTTGTGACTGTTTAATAGAAGAATTCAGTTAACACATTTTGATTGAATCTATTCTGTATTAATAATGACCAACACATTTTTTTCTTCAGACATCTATTTATATTTCTTGGAAAAAATATATTCATGTAAGCATTCATTGCACACGTAATGTTTCATTTTTTGTCTATATTGTATTATTAACTATTGAACTTTACTGATAGATGCTCTTCTTCTTTATAAATAGTTCAAACGTAGTATTTTATTAATACACTAATAGCAAAATTAGGTCGAACAATATTATTAGAGAGTCCCAATCAAGACAATTACTAAGATAGTCTATTTTGTAAATTTATTAACCAACAACATCACTTTTTATTCTTATATTTTTCCACCTGTTTGAGTCATTATGGTGTAATAACATACAGAAAAAGAAAACACAAAAGAAAGATATAAAGAAAATGTTGATCTTCAATATGTATGTTTATATTATATTGTCAATATACGATACGAAAGAAAGACTGTATGCCAGTTGCATGTTTTTTTTTGTTGGCTCACTGTTACAATAGTGAGAAGAAAAGAAGACTTAGATACTTTTTCTGGTCTTATTCAAATTTAACCATGAGAGAATGTGTAAAATATGAAAAGCACAAGCATATTGGAAATCAGAAAGAGCCATTTAAATGATGTGATTTAAGAGAAGGAAAAAAACAAAGAAAAAAAGTACGAGGAAGAAAGAGATGTGTGTTTTCATTTTGAGTCTAGGGCAAGAATTCAATTTGATTATTGACCAAAACTAAAAACAAACCAAATAGAAAAAAAAAAGAAAAGATCAATATGACAATAAGTATATACGATAATTAATTTACCGAGACCAATCGCCAAAAAGTGCTGGAGGTTGTTGAACTGAAGCTAAAATAATAATTTAAAAAATTATAAAATCCTTGAAGATTTCTAAACTTACGTTTTCTTTGGTCGCCAAATGTCGGTACATATGAATTTAGTTTTGGACCACGAGCTATACAATATTATAATTATATTTTTATTAAAAAAAAACAAGATTTAAGTAAAATTGTTAAAAAAAACAGATATCCTTTATTGAACAAAGTTAACAAAACTGAAGTCCCTCTGTTAATTATAAGTACTGTTGTGTCTATTGTAAAAATGTATTAATTTGAACCTACAAGTCATGAATATTACATTTAATTTTTTAAGCTCTTTTCATGAACTTTTATGTAACAATCTCATTATAAAAAGACGAACAAAATATATGGTTAGTAAGTTGAATAATAATAAAATCAATGAAATAAATGAATGAAGAGCAAGTATAGATATTGAAATAAGTTATAGCGTGATTCACTTTTTTAATTCTCATTGTTTCTATGCTTTCCTACGATTTCAGTTGACAATCTATGAGTAAAAATAATGGACATGAAACAAGTTGCTCAATATGAAGAGATTAAAAGAAAATAGAAACGAACGATCTTTTCAAAATAAAGAAAATCAAAATATTGAGTTGATGAAACTACATTCAATACTGTTCATTGAACAGAAACATCAATGGAAGATAAATGATTAACACATTTTTCAAACTGGAGATCTGAATGGGCTGATGTGGATCGAAGAAAGCCAGCTCTTTGATATCGTTAATACAAACTATACAGAAAATAGGATAAAAGTTTATTACAGATGCAACAAAGCCAAACGTCATGAACTCTAATGTAGAGCAAATATTTATCTGCTATATCATGCGGATGGTGAAAAACTCTACTGTTTATAAAGCGGAAGCTAAGCACGATGATCATAAGGATGTGTGAGTGTGCCAATATGAATGAAATAAAAACGCAAGCAATTCCATACCCCATATCCTATTTTATATGAAAAAAAAAAATCTACGAATAAAATTTGTATTTTTCATTGAACAAATCTGATTTTTTTCACTACTAATTAAGTATGATAAACTAACAGTTTCATCTATTTTATTGATCATTGAAATCGAAGTCAAAAAAAAAATATGGCACATACTTGCTGAATTACTATTGTTCGAAAGTTCCGTAAGAAAATTGAAACTGTCACGACGTACTGTTTGTCGAGGATTAATACCTAAACAGTTAATAACCATTCAAATACTAAATTAAATAATACTAAGAAAAAACCAAAATTCTTACCTGGTTTGTACCTTGTACTTCCCAAATAATATTGCTTAGCAGATGGTTTTGTTGTTGAAAATGGTGCTTTGGTTTCACTTTGATCTCGATTATTAATAGTATTATTATTTGTATTTGAAAAAAAGTCATCTGGATTAAGACGCATTGATGGTTTACCAATTACATTAGTTGTTGTTTTTTGTGTAGTTATTTTTTTTGTTAAATTATCATCATTTAACCAATCTGTTAAACTATCTTTTCTTGGTGATGAAGTTGAATCTTTGGCTGGTGCTATTGGAGATAAAAATTTTGATGGTTGTGAAGGTTGAATTGATCGTCCTTGTAATATAGCATCAATATCAAATGATTGATCAACAGATGGTCTATGTGGATGTTTTAAAATTGATGCATGACGATTTTCAGAATTAATATTTGACTTTGAAAATACTGGTATAGTTCCTTTTCGATTATCTGATGTCGTTAAATCATATTTTGGTAATGATGGTACAGATGGTTTTTGTTGTTGAGTATTATCAAATGCAAATCCACTTGTTTGTTTAGTCGACTTTTGTTGTTGATTATTAGTATTTTCTTTTATATTTGATTTACTTGGTTGTTCAAATTCTTTAAGTAATGCATCTAAATCATTCAAATCACTTGAACTAACTGGAGTTTTATTCTAAGGAAGAAAAAAATAAAACAAAACTTTCTTTAATTCATATTTTGTATTAGAGAAAAAAAAGACAATTACTCCATCTGTTTGCCAATCTTCTGTAAAAATTTGTTTAGAATCACGTGATTGAGCTGATGATGTTTCGTTAATGACTGAAACATTTGTACTTGATGATCCCAATGAATCTTGGCTAACTTTAAAATATGGATGTTTTAAACACTAAAATAATAAAAACTATTAGCAAAATCTTTACGAACTTAAAAGGTGCAACATTATGCAGTTACTCTTGCTAATCTTAGAAAGATTATTTTATTCTATCTATTTTAGGGCACATTTCTTT